TTTATGTGTGGCCCAAACCAAAATCTTATCTTCTAATGTGGCCCAGGGAAGGTGAAAGGTTGGACAATCCTGCTCTATATGCTACAGCATTCTGATCTACCTCCACAAAAAATCAAACTAACTAATACTAATACAACAAAATGTAATGTAATGCGATTATTCGTCTTTTGGGTCACATTCCTCCTCCTGTAGTTCTTCTCCCTTGCGTGTGCCACCTCTGGGGAAATGGGCCTCAGCCCCTCTCTCTTCAAACCGAAACATTTTCTTCTACCTGTTATGCTTTTATATCTTATTACCTCCTTATGTCCCACTTAAGGTGTTCTGCCCACCCTTCAATGAGATTGCTTCCCCTAGTTTATAAAAAAAAATATCCAGAGGGCTACCCAAGCTAGTCTGTTGAGGCAAAAGCCAGCCCCCCACCTATAATATTTTGTAGCCCCTGAAATGCTAACATGTTATTTGGTCTAAGCTTTAGTGAACTGCAGTCCATTTCTTCAGATGCAACCCAGTTTGCAAAGTGTTGCTTACCCCACATTTGTTAGAACAACGTCCTGCTCCACCTGCGCCCACCATCATAAAGGCTGGCAAGAAAACCTGTGAACAAAGCAATGTTAAATGATTATTGCCAATGCAGCCCTTTTAAAGGCTTTCAAAATATCCAGTGGGGTGGATTCTTGCCAAGGAACCATGATCTGTTATGTGCCATTAAGTAGGAACTGACTTATAGTGACCTTAAGAGGCCTTTTGAGGGCCAGTGAAATATTTAAGGAGTGGTTATACCAGGGCTCCCTCCCCATAAGTAGCCAAGCGGAAATTCAAACCCAGGTCTCTTGAGTCCTAACCCTTAACTCTGTCTACCACACCATACTGGATATCTACAAAAAGGTTACAAGATGTTTCATGTTGAAGGCTCCTAAGGAGTATTAAGTTATAGGGATAATATATGGTTAAAGACACACAAGGCTAACCCAAGACTATACCAGGGCTCCCTCCCCATAAGTAGCCAAGCGGAAATTCAAACCCAGGTCTCTTGAGTCCTAACCCTTAACTCTGTCTACCACACCATACTGGATATCTACAAAAAGGCTACAAGATGTTTCATGTTGAAGGCTCCTAAGGAGTATTAAGTTATAGGGATAATATATGGTTAAAGACAGACAAGGCTAACCCAAGACACTTTGCTGTCGGAGGCAAAGGAAAATTCAGTTTCCAGAAGCCATCTTGACTGGCAGTTGAGCTTCAACACCGGCAATGGGACAGGTTGAGCTCTCCATTATACTCAAAGGCAGTGAGCAAGACAGGCTGTGTGACATGTGCAGTGGTATCTTCTGACAGAGGGAATTCAGGAAGAACAGTGGCAAGACTGCTGCGTCTTTTTTCCAAAGTCTGCTGCATCCAGCTATTTCCTCACTATGGGGCCTTGAACTGATAGGAAACCACCTGTTGCCTATTGTTCGTACAATTGCTGTTACACAGTTGTGTATTGCAATAAGATTCTTGGCAGACTGAGATAAATGCCTCAGGTAGCAAATATTGAAAGGCAGTCATGGCAACTCACCCCCCACAACTCCCAGTTTTCTGATATGAATAAGGTCTGGACTACACTGCCAGTAAGCTCTTATACGTAATAGCCTGTTACTCTCATGTGTGGAGGATGATCCCCCAGGGCCAGTGCAGAAGTAAGATTTAACTCTGATGCATGTCAGCGCCTATATATGTTATAGAGGAGAGGTGTGTCTTCAGTTATTTTGACTCAAAGAGCAAAATACTGTGCTTTTTTTATATAATTCCAAAGTCTGGGAAAGCAATAATTGTTTTTAGACGACAGCTTCCAGGTTCTGGAGGATTCTGCACACTGTTGTTCAAAAAAGTAACTTTGTCCAGTTTTATATAATTGTCCTTGTTATTTAGAGAAAGCTTGTGGTTTCTACTATTATATGCTCTCTCTCTCCCTCTCTCTCTCTCTCTCTCTCTCTCTTCATACCTCTCCTTTCTCCTTGAAAAGGACCAAAGTAGGTTTACAACACTGAGAGAGAATATTCAAAGTTGAAAATAATGAGAATACAATGGTGGTTAACATCATTAAAAGATAATATTTGAAGCTAAGAACAATGAGTATAAAGAGGCAGCTTTATTGTGTTTCCTAAGTGCTTGCCTGTTGAGGATACCACACATTGAATGGTGCATCTTCCCAAAAATAATAAAATAAAATGACCATCAAATTTTTTTTTCAAAAAAGATTAGCATTTAATGTAAGGGGGTGAGGAGACAATTTGATATATTCTTTTACAAATCCAATAAGATATCCTGTTTCATCCTATGTTACAGAAATAAGACACAAAGTCCAAAAAGACTTGAAAAAGAACAAGAATGCCTTTACTCATCAGTCTGCAATATTTATTTACGTATTTTTTTATTTAATTTATACCCCACCCATCTAGACTGAAGTCTACTAAATATGAAGCATTCTTCTACATTGTATCAAGATTTTCTGGACATCATGGCTGAAATCCAGTTTGCACAACTGCACTCATGAAAGGCTGATGGCATGATCATCAGGAACGGGAATTAAAGACTTCCTCCTCTCATTCAGTGGCTTCCATGGTTTCAAAGCAATGAAAGGGATTACATGGGAACAATGGGAGCTGTGGGACTGAAATAGGGAAAAGATTGCCTTCTGTCAATGACATCATCAGCCTTCTACAGGTATAGTTGTACAAACAGGATTACAGCCAGTGTATTTACGTATATTCACTAACACATTTTCTGTTCTTTCTACTGATGTCCCCTCTTCTTTATGAATTAAGAGTTAAGAGTGGCACTCAAATCTTAAGAAACGTTTTCTAGGGTCAGTTAAGAGTGGCACTCAAATCTTAAGAAATCTTTTCTAGGGTCCTACCATGTTTTCCCGAAAATAAGACAGGGTCTTATATTAATTTTTGCTCCACAAAAAAACGCATTAGGGCTGATTTTCAGGGGATGTTATATATTTTTTTCATCTACAACAATCTACATTTATTCAAATATAGTCATGTCATCTTTTTCTGGTTGCTGCACAATGCTGCGCAATGGTGGAAGATGGGGTTTTACTTAACTGGGACTTATTTGTGGGGTAGAGCTTATATTACGAGCATCCTGCAAAATCATACCAGGGAATATTTTCAGGTTAGGTCTTAATTTTGGGAAAACAGGGTAGGAGAGAAGCAATAAAGTATCTGCAGATACTTAACATCGACCTGGTAGTGTTATAATATTTTCAGGTTAGGTCTTAATTTTGGGTAAACAGGGTAGGAGAGCAATAGAGTATCTGCAGATACTTAACATCAACCTGGTAGTGTTACAGTGCAAACGGTCAAGGCTAGTTGCCGAAATAAAACACTGGTAATCTGTGGGCACATGCCATTTACAGGGGAAGAACATCCTTTAATTGCAGTACCACACTGGGGTCAATAACTACTTTCAAAGTGCTGTTGTCATTGTGAGATCGATGGACTCTCCTCCTCCCATACTGTTCCTTCTTGTCTATGTGTAACCACAGTCATCACGACCTTAGGCTATATCTCTTTAGAGCTTTCACATTCTGAATTAGATTACAATCCATGCTTCTTTCATGCTAATGCTTTTGTTTTAGGCATAGTTAGGTAATTTTAGAATGTCTACATAATGGTCTTAGCAACATTGCTTCTTTCACTTCAAACTACACCACTTTAACATTTGGGGCCCTTGTGCTCATCCTGGTGAATCAAAGGATGGATTTCTACCCCAGGTACCAATAAACTTTATGATTGGCCTCAGGCAGCTTAAAAAAAAGAGAAAGAAATTTTAAAAGCCTTTGTGATTGATCTGTTTTCTCTAAAACACTGGTTGGACAACATGCAGCCGCCTCCCCCCGAGGAAGGGTGGACCTCCAACTATACCTCTGCCCTCCAGCATCTGTCCAATTTAGTAGTGTTTTGAGTGGTACTCAGTACTGTACTCTGCACCACCATATTTTAATGGCCACTAGAGGGCATGATTGGGCATCGTAAGGTTAGAAATTTAATTTTCTTAAGGAAAAAAAATTGGGTATTGTCACGGGTATTGTCCTCCAAGATCCAAGGAAAGTGGTTTTTTGGCCCCAGGATCTTTCAGTGCGACATGTACTACTTACAAATGTTAACATTAGGCATTAAGGGAAATGTGCATTCACTATGATTAGCATGGTTTCCTAATTTGAGCCTTAGCCAGGAAACTTGCAAAATTAGCTAGCATTACTTTCCAGTTAGAACTCACAAATGATTGCATGCTAAATGCAAAATATATAGGTCACGAAAATCATGACGAAGATATATCTGTCACTAAGAAGCAACAATCCTAAATATGCATTGTTTGCTGGCTACTTTGTTTTGAAAAAATGTTTGCTTTTATACATACACAAACACACACAGACACACAGAGAGAGAGAGAGTTATCTGTGGTGTTAAATAGAGATGGGCACGAACTGGTTCATCCTGGTTCGTCCCAGTTCATAAAGGCAGCAGCCTTCTCTCCTTGCCTCCTCTGGCTCAAACAGCCACTCACCAGGCCCAGCTGGCTTGCTTTTCCCACCTCCTCGGCTAATCTCCCAGTCAAGAGCAAGAGCACAGACTTCTCTGCCCCGCCCCTTTGTCTGAGTGGGTGATCAGCCAAGAGGGTGGGGCAGAGAAGCCTGAGCTGTTGCCAAGACTGGAAGATCAATTGAGGAGATGGAAAACCCTCCTCTGGCTCAAACAGCCACTCACCAGGCCCAGCTGGCTTGCTTTTCCCACCTCCTCGGCTAATCTCCCAGTCAAGAGCAAGAGCACAGACTTCTCTGCCCCGCCCCTTTGTCTGAGTGGGTGATCAGCCAAGAGGGTGGGGCAGAGAAGCCTGAGCTGTTGCCAAGACTGGAAGATCAATTGAGGAGATGGAAAACACAAGCGGGCTGAGCTTGGTGAGTGGCTGACTGAGTGAGAGGAGGCAGGGAGGGGAGCAGTAGCATCTGTGCTGCTATCTTTACAAACTGGGATGAACCTGGAAAAACCAGTTGGTTCCCCTCTCTAGTGCTAAACTCTTCCCCTAAAATATAGTCGCTTCTGTTGGAAATATGGCAACTTCATATGGTGCCTTTAAGGTTTTAGCTGAGAGGAACTTTTCTGGACTATCGGTCAACTCAGTAACAGTCAATTGTTCACTCTATACCACACAGTTCTTTTTCTTGCTTTTTTCCAGTCAGAGTTCAGTTAGTGTTCTGTCAGCGTTAGTTATGGAGTCAGAAGTGAACAATTAGAGTGAAGTAGCTATGTAACCAGTCAGTTAGGTAGTAATGAAGCAAATTAGTGATGTAACAAGTTAACATTTCCACACAATATGATGTTTGTTTTCATATAAGAAGAAGTGTGAGTAACCAGAAACATTTTATTCTTTTTCATTGCTATTGTATTGAAACAATAAGTGCCCGTTGAGGTGAACTAACAAATACAGGATGGTCTACTGAGGGAGACTGTAGCTCAGTCTGCTCTGTAGGTTTGTGATCTAACCATTTCATCCTCTGTGTAATTGGAGGAAGTTTAATTTTTATTTTAATTAAATCTCCACTCAACCTTTCCTTACACCAACTCTGCCAACCCCAACAGGTTCAACACCTAAGAAATTTATTTTAAACCAAAACTGAAACCCAGAATAGATTCACCAAGCTCATGTCATTAGAACCATCAGTGATACAATGACTCTTTATTTGGTATAAAACTAATTTTTTTCCTTGCATAGATCCCTTCCTAACAATATGTATTCTTTCCTTAAATAACTGCAAACCACTGAAATGTGTATTATAATAATGACTTTTTCCCCCTTACCAATATCCCAGCTCCCAGAATGCCGTGGAAAAACCAGACCAAGTCCGTGATCCGCCGCGCTTCTAACACTTCTCCGTTGGGGAAGTAGAGAAGAAGATTAGAGATGATGGCGCAGACAGCAAGGGGGAGCAGAGCTATCCCCATGCATTTGGAGCAGCTGCACGTTGAGCACTTTCCTTGGCACATCATGGATATCTCTGTGTCTCCTTGGTAAGAAAACAGGCTGTAAAAAGAAAAGTTGTTGTTTAGTCATTTAGTCGTGTCTGACTCTTCGTGACCCCATGGACCAGAGCACGCCAGGCCCTCCTTTTTTCCACTGCCTCCCGGAGTTGGATCAAATTCATGTTGACAGCTTCAATGACACTGTCCAACCATCTCGTCCTCTGTCGTCCCCTTCTCCTCTTGACTTTACACTTTCCTAACATAACCACACTGAAAGCTGTGTTGCTTCCTCCCGTTACAGGGGGAAACAGGAATGGGAGTCAAAAGCAATCAGAAAATACCAGAACACCACCTTTTGGCAGAGGAGTTGCTGTTATAATAAATAAAAAAAACCTATTGTACAAAGGTGAGACCTTTATTAGACCACTTTAAAAAAATCAAGCCAACAAGTGATGGTTAGCTTTCAATGATAATTCATCTTCTTCTGGCTCTGCACCAAATTTCTTGTCGGTCGTTGGGGCCAGGTTAGTTGCTATCAAGTGGAATGTAGAATATATTCAGTACCAGCCTTAGAGAAACCCAGAAACCTTTTGGAAATAAGATTTATATTAAACAAACAGGTGAAATTACCACCAAGGAATGAGGAAATACCCCAAATAAACTCCCATTTGGCAGGCACTGAGGCCGTATGTCACTCTGCGTTATTGATGTTCTTTTTTCAGGGACTGTTCCACTGGTCAATGGGCACTCTGAGGTCACATTGACTTTCTGCAACTCTGTGCAAACCTCCCTCTGTCCTGTTACTGGATTATACATTTTGCAACATCAGAGCTTAACGATGAAAGAAACACACTTACAAAAGAAGGGTTGAGGGAATTGGAACCAGGATCTTTCTTTCAGGGGCAGAAAAGATCCGTGTTGATGGAGGGTGTCTCAACCAATTTTTGGCGGTTCCCTTCCTTTCCTCCTTCTCTCCAATTCAGCAGGACCCTTCAACTTCGTTTTTTTAAAAAGAAGCTAGGAAAACTCTTGGGGAAACTGCTTCCATCAGCTCAGTGCAACATGTGGATCCATGGTGTGCAGGAGAGAGGTGGACAACAACACGGGGTTGAAAAGATGCCCACCTTCAACCCCAAAATTGTTGAGGGCGCAGCTGCCAAAGCTGCCACTGTTAAAATTCTACCAATTCTTTTGGGAACTTGTTTTTATGGGAAGCACAGTGTTTTGCAGAGAAACAGGAGTGGACTAAATCCCAACAACCCCATTTCTCATAAGAATCAGCAGCATTCTGCATTTCTCAGCAGAATCAGCAGCAACGGTTTGGGACCGTTTCTTCAGATACCTGAAAAAGATGTCTATTATTTCACCTCTCAATCATGAGGACTGTTTTGAAGCCATACTCAGCAGAATCAGCAGCAACGGTTTGGGATCTTGATACCTGACAGAACGCCTCCTTCCAAAGAGATCTACCTGTTTCACACAACCTCCTTCCCAGGCCAAGTGGTTCAGAACACTGACCCCGAGACAGGCCTGGAAAGAGATCACCAAAAATCAAGTCTTCTCGGCAGTTGCTCCTTATCTTTGGAACAGTCTCCCACCTGAAATTCACACTGTCCCCTTCACTGAGATGCTTTAAACAATCACTGAAAACATGGCTTTTCAGGCAGGCAGTCCTGGAATATTTAACATCCTAACTCAATCATCATCTCAGTGTTTTATACTACCCATTCTGTCATCTTGCCTTTAAATTATCCAAATTGTTTTTGATTTTTTTTACTTCTGTCACTAGCTATGTTTGTTTTATGTTTAATTTTGACTTTGATTGTTACTGTGTTTATTGTTTTGTATTATTGTTTATATGTTTTTTATTTGTACCCAGAGTTGCCCTGGCAGCCAGATGGGTGCTATAAAAGTCAAATAAATAAATAAATACGTTTTTCAGAGCAAAAGAGGGGCGCTAGGAGGACTAGGGTTAGAGTTATGTGTGAAGGGGCACTAAGTAAGTCCCAACCCTGGAAAGCTCTTGAATCACACAATCACAGACTATTTGTAGTTGGTGTGAAAAAGGATCCCCAGGGTCATTTAGACCAGTTATGTGAATGCAGGAAAACACAGTTAAAGCATCCCTGATAGAGGGTCAACTTCTGTTTAGAAGCCTCTACCGCCATCTGACATCATCTATTTCGTTGCTGAACAGTTCCTACTGTCAGGAAATTCTTCCTAATGTTTAAGGTTGTATCTCCTTTCTTGACATTTGAATACAGTGATCCATGTTCTACCCTTGGTGGAAGCAGAAAAAAGTTCCTCATGACAGCCTTTCTTCAGATACCTGAAGATGTCTATTATATCACCTCTCAATCATGAAGACTGTTTTGAAGCCATGTCTGGTGCACAACATATCATATTAATTTGGGGGTTAGGTTCCATAACGTGTTCACTGCAGACACACAAAAGGAAACAGTAAGATCATGAATGTTTGTCCCCCTGGCTACATGCATGATAATCCAGTGTGTGAAAAAGAGGTATCTATGTGCAACTGTACCTATGTAGAGCTCTGCCACATGATCAAAACCCTAAGGCAATCAGGGCTCCTAGTCCTCTGGAGGCAACCTACACATGTACCGCTGTATGTGCATCCATGTCAAACACATGGATGTGGGGAGGTGTGGTCAAAAGATGTGATTCCACTTTCCTTGTGCGCAGTTGATACAGCATCGCTAATGGATCTCCAACAAGAGAAAGAGACCAAGAGAAAATGAATTCATTCCCCAAAAGAAGGACAAGAGAGGACATTCAGGAGATTCGGATTGAAAACTGAACACACTAATTTGTACACATGGATGCACACTAAGAAATAATAGCAATAACAAAAATGATAACACATTCTCATAATTTGGAAATAATAACCATATCATATTTCTGTCTTAAATAGAAATGCCAAGATGGAAAAAAACCTGTGTCTTTTTTGTTCTCAAGTGTTTGTTTGTTTTTTGTATGGGCAAATTCAAGAACCTTGTGTTTTCTTCTTAAGGTTCCTGATCTTTAAACTGTACTTGAACTGGATAACTCTTCAAACAGAGGACACCATTAAAGAAACGGCTGTTGTCTGGAGGACTGTACTCTGTGAAACAGGGCTGTGGCCACTGTAATATTCAGCATATGCATGGTTGAGTTGAGATGAGTTATGTGTACACCCTTGAATCTCCCTGTTGGCTTCAGTACCTAATTCAACGAACCATTTCCAGGTTTCACGTATACATTTTGTCCAGCATACCCGACAGAGCTTCGCCTGTCTTTGAACCACGATACCCATTAAGATTTAAAAAGGAAGTTACTTAATTATATTTCAGATGTACCCATAAGTCATCACAAATTACACTTTGGTTTACCTGCTCTGGGCGATCTCTTAGTTTTTACTCTTTGTTGTCATCTGGATCTAGCATTCCCAGAATGAATTGTTATATATGTGGTTTTCTCTACCTTCAGCACCAAGGTCAGAGAGGCTATTAATGTATTGTCTGATCTGCAAAATTAGAGAAATTTACTTTTGACACTACAAATCCCAAAATCGCCCCACCATCCTGGTCACTGAGGATTCTGGGAGTTGTAATCCAAAAACTAACTAACTGCTCATTTATATCCTCAAAGTGGAAAACTCACACAGGGCATAAACCAGCAAGATTTTGAAGTGGAAAATCTGTTAGTCTGCTGCAGACCAAAGCACCTTTAAGACTTAACAAATATATTGTAACATGACCTTTGGCAGCTTATAGTTCACTTGCTCAGATGCATGAAATGTCATCCCATTTTTCAGGTATATGTGCAATATTTGAGAGAGAGAGACACAGTAGCAGCAGACTGTGGTTTCAGCACAGGGTGCCTTATGCGTAATGTGCAAATGGGACACATTGTGCCAGATGCAAGGTAACGTCCCCCACTGCCCATAGTAATGGTACATGTACTAAACCATTCTGGATAATGCTATACTGTATACATCTGATGAAGTGGTTGATAATTCATAAAACCCATAGAACAATAAATCTGTTTTAAGTGTTATACACAGGAGAACTTGACTGAATCTTGCACTTTTGTGCAAACCCCACTGAAATCAATGGGTGCAACACACAAGCATCATTATATCCCTGTACCGTTCCAACTACTTCAGTGCTTTCCTTACCCAGAAAAAAAGTTCAGATGGATTATGCAGTATGACTCTGACATACATCCTTTCATTTCAGCATTTTTGTTCAAGACAAACCATAGCTATATACTGCTCATTTTTATCTAAAGCACTTGAAAAGCAAGGTTGTCTAAAACGTCTTCAATGCAGAGTCACTTACCCTTTATGTGACAATCAAAACAACCAGGAGCAGTGCACGCAGGAGAGTGAATTTCAAAACAAAGCTCTTCTCGCTGGATCCAGCACAAATGTTCAGCGTTTTATTATGTGACAATCAAAACAACCAGGAGCAGCGCGCTCAGGAGAGTGAATTCAAAACAAAGTTCTTGTTGCCAGATCCAGCACAAATGTTCAGCTTTTTGGATTTAGAGAGTTGTTATTTCAAGCAAGCCAGTCAGCCAGCAAATAAAGTGAGCAAACTGTTTTTTTTTAAATCACACCATTAAGGAAGAAAAAAAAATACTCTACAATGTGACTGAGTTGTCTGTGTTTCGGTGTGTCTGCGTATGTTACCAGGCACTATTGATTTATAAGACACTGAAAACATTCTGTGTTCCACTGATCAATGACTGCTCCTAGTTATATTGATCCACACTGCCTTGTTTCTGTGCCTTTGCCTTTCAAAACATAAAATATTATTTTAATTGCATCAGGAGGTGCTATACGTAGGGAAAGGAATATAAATATCTGGGAAACTGCACTATTTTAAAAACTACAGAAGGTACTTTCATTTGCTATAGTGAAAGAAAGAAAGAAAGAAAGAAAGAAAGAAAGAAAGAAAGAAGAAAGAAAGAAAGAAAGAAAGAACAGGTTACTTAATGTCAGGGTAAATTAGTCATTACTTTAGAAGGAATTGTCTGGAAGAGAACTGTTTATTAAGCATCCTGTAAGAATGATATAATTATTATTATGGATTCAAGAGGCTCATTGTAATTTGATTATAGTGGATTACGATGGTGGAGAAAAACGATTACCAATTTGTCAGCCTTACTGAGGTAAGTGGGTGCTTCATGTGTTCCTAATACAGTAGTTGCCTTCAGTAAGGGATTGTTATTATTCTTGTTTAAAAGTTGCATCACATTAAGCCTGCCAAAATTCTCCCTAATCCTTAGTGTCTATGTAAGGCCACAACCCAGCCCCAAGTTAGAAGAGCCTTAAGTGCATAGTTAATGTTAACAAGGGAAGAAAGTTAACAAGGCCAGGATCGGAGTGGGCTTTATTATTGTTGCTTTTATTTGTTGAATTCATGAAAAGTGATCCAAGTGACATAACATGGTTCCTCTATCTGCTTTTATTTTCACACCAGACCTATGCGAGGGGAGGAAAGTCGGTTAGCAAACAGAGTTTGGAAAAGTTACTTGTTGTGACGGCAAATATTAGAACTACAGGTGCCCAGTCTCCGAGTGCTTGAAAGGTTTTCCTTGTCTCCCGATGACGACACAAATCTCAGGGTCAATGGTTTTATTTTTCTCTGTAAGGTGGTTTTAAAGCTTGGGCACTCATTGTTATCGATTCTCATTGGCACTTGAGCTCACAGGCTCAGTGCAAAAAATATCCTCCCGACACTCCTCTGAAACGTTGCCTGTCCTGCCTCTGTGACATCACAAGGGCCTCCTCTTAGGATCTTCTGCCTGGCCCTAGGTTTTAGCCCTGAAATCTCAGAGAACTGGCTGCTGCTGATCTGGGGAGCCATCCAGCCATCCATTAACTTCCATGGTTCCCTGGATCCCAAACCAACCCCTTGCCCACTTTAACAGACTGGACTACAGCGCAAGACCCCAATGAAGGCTCCTATTCCAGCTGGGTTTTTTTCTATTCAGCTCAGGGTAGTAAAATCTGCAGCCAACCTGTCTCTCTCCAGATTTGATGGCCCAGAAACCCCAGCATCCCCAGTCATCATCACTCTCACCGTTTTTCTCTTCTGTTTGATTGCCCATTTAGTGAACTCTTGGGGCTTGTTCATGAAGACACACCATTGGATGCAAAGATCACACCAAATGACATATTGCACCTCAAAGCAATCCTATTCAGTCTTACCTGCCCAGTCCAAAAAAGCCAATGTAGACCAGTCCTCAGTCTTCTTTGCATTACTTCACTGCAATGCAACTTTAGGACAAAAACATTTTCAACAGTATGTAGTTAAAGTGAGGTCACATGACACACAATCCAAAAAAGGGAAAGGAAAGAAAGAAAGACATACACCACCAAACAGGATAACCTAAAAAGGGGAGATATTAATGTGCATGAAATTACATATGCTAATTTATATGTACAGACAAAAAATAAACATGGTTCTTATAATTTAAACAGAACTACAATACCCATCATTTTTGTGAAATCAGTTTGAAAACCAGGAGCATGTGGCAACTACAGCCATAAGAGGGAGCGCAAACTATGTAACAGCTGCAACAAAAGGAAAATGGTAGGGAATTTTAAAAGAGATTAGTTTGTATATACTAGCTGATTTGTTCTTTCAAAGTGCGCTTTTCTGATGCCTTATTTGTTCAGGAAGCCATAACAAGATACACTGAACTGAGAGACACAGAGTAAAGCTTGGTGTTATTTTTTTTCCTTTTCACATCAGCTGATGTTTGATTATCATGCTTTTGAATAAACTAAGCAATCAGATCTTTCTACAAAAGTAGTTCTAAATCTCTCGAACTTAAGTGTCCCATTTTAAATTGACTTCTCCACCCTCACTCTTATGGCCTGTTAACCATTGCAAAGAATTCTGGACCATGGTCTCACACGCACTCCGACATTGTGTAGAGCACTAGAAGAACTGGTATCACAAATTGGTACCCTTTAGAAGCTCTGATTACAACAGTCTTCTGCAAGTATTCCCTGGTGAAGATCATAGAATCATAGAAGCATTTACTTGGAAAGGGACTATAAGGCCATCTAGTCCATCCCCTTGCTCAATGCAGGAATACAAATCAAAGGATATGGCTCACCATGCAGCCTCTCCTGGCCACTGTGGGAAAATAAAATGTCTGCCTGCAGCAAGTCAACCATGCATGCCAATTTCCAGAAAGCAGTTTTCTATTTGAAAGGATGTGCCATGTAAATAGACTCTTAAGGTAGGTAATGATATTTTTACAGTCAAGTTTTCTTTCAGGGAAGCTTGTCTGTGATATTATCTATCTATCTATCTATCTATCTATCTATCTATCTATCTATCTATCTATCTATCTATCTATCTATCTATCTATCTATCTATCTATCTATCTATCTATCTATCTATCTATCTATCTATCTATTTAATTTATATCCCGCCTATCTGGTCGGTTAAGACCACTCTAGGCGGCTAGATTTTCTAAATTTTCTAAATGCCAGAGAGAGGGGATCATTTTTAAGAGTTTGCTTGTTTAAAGAATATATAGGAGAAAAGCCACGTATACCATCTTGAGTTCACTAGAGAAAAGATCAGACAAAAATGGAGTTACCAGACTATGTGATGATGGTGATGATGACAATGATGACCGTGAATGTGATGATGATGGCCCAAATCCTATTGCTGATAATGTAAATGTCATAACTTTTGCCAGGAAATTGCTGCATGTTACAAAGTCATTACAGACATCACCTGTTGAATACTAAATTACTCAACTCAGTATTCAGTGAATAATGGCTACACTGACTTCATAACTTGCAGATATTTTCCACCACAAGGCTTGTCATTTACAGTACATGGGCAATAGGATTTTGACCACCGACACCACCAACAACACAGTATTTCAGCTGAAGCTAGCAGAATTTGCTACATAAAATATTAACAAGATAACATCGGTTAAAATAAAAGAGTAAAAATCTATAGAGCGGGAGAAAGGGTTTGGAAACATATTTTTTTTTCTCTTCTTGTCGTGTGTCAAAGTTGGAAATAGCATCTCCTCCAATTGCATGAACAAAAGCGGACTAGAATAGTAGTTTTCCACATTCATTCTTCAGTAGACAGCAGGTTGTATTGTGTATAACACAATGGTGGCCAGTAATGTTTTCAAGTTCAGGGGTGCTGTGAATCTACTCTGAGTTTTACACCACACTTTACAGAACTTTTCTAAGGTGCTGAACTCCACGGTGCAAATTGTAGCAATCAAAGACGGGATCTGTTTTCCCCCACAGACAACAGCATGTTGGATCTCTCCTGCAAAGGGCAGATTAATACCTGGAGGAGATTTGCAGCACTCTCAAAGTTGGAGTCGGCATTTTTACAGCTCTGGTTGGGAGGAAAAAGACTGGCTTGTGTGAACTTACTGAGCTATTTTAACCATAGGGAAAAATGCTCCCTTTTGCCCCTGACATCTCCTTTAGTGCAGTTATCACTGCGCAGAAGAGCTGAGCGGGACATGGTACCCACTTTGGATTCAAGAGTGTTTTGTTTAGTCCCTGACTAAAGCAGCTATGAGTGGAAAATATTGCAGTCATCCAGTGGGGGCCGGTTTAAAGCAAATACTGGAACATGTGAAATGACTGTCAGGAAGTCAGAAGTGTTTTCTTCCTCTTTTTGGTGGAAAACTACTATATCTGGGACGTGCGTGTCAATAAACGTGGCTAAAAGAGCTGGCATCAGTTTTCTGAGCATTCATTCATTCTGAAATTGCCATTTCATTGTAAATTACCATATTTTTCCATGTATAAGACTATACTTTTGTCTAAAATCTTTAGACTAATAATTGAAGGTAGTCTTATACACTGGAGTAAGCTGAGGAGAGAACAAACACAAGCGGAGGGGAAAGCAGGGATCAAGCGGAGGGGAAAGCAGAGATCAAAGATATTAATGTGCATAAAATTGCATATGCTAGTTTAAATGTACAGGCAAAAAATAAACATGGTTCTTATAATTTAGAATTACAATACCCATCATTTTTGTGAAATCAGTTTGAAAATCAGGAGCATGTGGCAACTATAGCCATAAGAGGGAGCCCAAACTATGTAACAGCTGCAACAAAAGGAAAATTGTAGGGAGTTTTAAAAGAGATTAGTGATCCTACAGGGATCCAAAGTGATCCTACAGGGCTTTGATCCCTGCTTTCCCCTCCACTTGCTAAGCCCCACTTAGATTTCTTAGTTTTGGATTAGAAAAGTGGCATCTTATACATGGGGGCATCTTATATATGGAAAATACGGTACTAGCACTGCGTTTAATTACTTTAATGGCACCATCAACAGTATTAAAGAGTAAAATGAAGGGAAAGAAGCTAAATCATACAGCTCCCTCCTCCAAGGTGCTTGCAAGCTACATTTCAGCAGCAGTAAAGAAAGAAAAGAGGGGGTAAGAAGTTACAAGATATGATTACATATCTCACGGCTCCTATGAAGCTTTTGTTCCAGTCCCCTTTCTACAGCTGGGCGCTGAAGGAGCATGGAGTTTACTTCACTTTTGTCTACACACAATGTGCTTAGCTTCTCTTTAAGAAACCTTTTAAAATTCTTTTATGAAATCCACTTCTGGGTTGGAGCTGACTTACCGATAGCTGAAAGCTTTTGACCAGGAAGCTTTCACTGTGGACATGAGCTTCAATTGGGAAACACCACAAAATACTAAACTCTGCCTTCTCGATAGAAAGGGATAATTAAAAATAATCCATATTTTCAAGAGAGACGAAAGGAATGAAAAGTAGTGGAACAAAGGAATGGAGCAACTGGGACAAAGGAAACATCCTGTGGATTTCAGTGTGAAACCCATTCCCTCTGGAATGGTCCTATAGTCAAGATGGTCTACAGCTGTGGTTACCAAACTTGGGTCCCTAGGTGTTCTTGGAATAAAACCCCCAGAAGCCTTCATCACTAGCTGTTCTGGCAAGGATTTCTGAGAGATGTAGTCCAAAAGCACCTGAAGACCCAAGGTTGAAAACCATTGGTCTACACAGGATATGCTCTTGAGCTCACTACCATTCACACTTGTTGAAAAACAGCCCAGTTGCATTGTGTTTGGATGAAAAGTGGTTAACTGTTGAAAAATGGAATCAGCTTCTGGGATTTTCCCTTGCTTGGTGTCATTTCTGTGAATGGCCAGCACAAACAGTGATCAGGGATGATGGTAGGTGTAATCCAGCAACATGTCAGTACAGTAAACATATGTATTATGGATATGAAGTTTAGTTCTCTCATAATAAAATCCACCTGCTAGGCCCACTCATTTTTCTTCAGCATTTCCTCTTAGACTATAGTGCCCTTTGCACATCAAGAGTGGACACAAAAATTTGAAATAGCCCATGTCCTTTGACTTTTGGGTAATTTTGATCACTGAATGGAGGACATGGTCAAAGTTTCAAAAGGAACTATTTTCAGCTCTAGCTTGGTTCGAGCCAGAGATGAGGCAAACTTGACAGAGCAAAGGTGAATTCTGCAGGATGTTTACATCCTGCAAATATGAAGCCTCTCACAATACAAGATATTGGTGTCCATTCAGATAGGTGGAAAGTGTGTAAGGACATGCTGGTCGGAACGTGTACATGAACAATTCTTCAGGCAAACGAAGGACCAAAAAAGAGTGATAAATACTGCTCCGGTTCATCCTCTTCTTTACTAAAGATGTAGGAAGCATTCAAACCTACGAATCAGTCTCCTAATTTCTTCATTTATTTGGCCAGAGGGACAAACACCACAGTTTCACCCCCAGAGGCCTTGAAAGCCTGGCACAAGGCCTGTCGGCATGGCAACCCTGCGCCTGCCTGTCCCTTCATCAGCCCCAAATTGCTGAATGGGAGGAGCGTCGCTTTGTCCATTCTTCCTGTCTGACTTGTTGGAATGTTTGTGGGCTGAGAGGTGAGCACACATTCCCGGCTGCATCTCTAGCCTGAGTGAGACACTCATGGGCAAACACACATGCAAAATGCTGTCCCCGAAGAATGTTCCCTGCCTTTTGCTTTGCACGGTGCTCTGGCTCTCCTTTTTTGCCCAAGCAGCAATAAGAACATACTATATAGGAATAGTGGCAGAGAACTGGGATTATGCACCAACTGGAAGGAATCAGATCACAGGACAAGACCTAGCAGAGGATGAGTAAGTCAAAGCAAAGTTGCTGCTTTTACGTGACAGTGGGCATGCCTGTTTTCCTACTGAGCTGCATGTTTGGCTTCTAATTTCCAGGCTATTACTTTTGCTTGTTTAACCAGACCAAAAATACAATATGCCAAGGCCATGAATGAAAATCTTTTAAGTGACCTTAAAAATGCATCTTAAAGGAGTGTTGGGAGTTGATAAACAAGGTAATGTGGAATTTCATTCTTAACTGTCTTTCTGGTTTTCAGTGGCTATTCAAGAACCATTGCTTTCCATGTCCATGCTTATTAGTTAAAGGATCCTGAGGAATTTGGCTCAAGAACCATTTTAAGCCCTTATTATTGTAATATACCAGTCCTAAAAGGAATTGTTATAAGTCCTGCTGAACTCAGACTTTGTTATGTAGGACATCGTATGAAAAGAAGTAAGGTTGCAATCTGAACATGCTGACTACATATTCTTTGTTTTGAATTAGGAAGCTACTGTAACCCCTTTCAGACATTCTGGTGAACACAGAGTAGGGGAAAGGGTGAGATTACATAGGCTGCCTCCATTGGAATGCCTGGAATGAGCCCTTCTACACACAACTGTATGATTGGACACCTCTCTCCATGTGATCAGAAATTAAAATTTTCTAGGGTCCTTGTTTATGTGAAGAGGTTCCTCCAATCTGTTCATACAGTAGCACACAGGGAGTTGTTTTCAACCCTTTAAATTATCTTCTATAGAATGTTTTCCCGTTTCCTTTGTGTGCATGAATTTTTTTGTTTGAATTAAGAAGCTACTGGAACCCCTTTCAAACATTATAGTGAGCACATGGTAGGGAGAAGAGCAAACTTCATAGCCTTACCTCCATGTATCAATGAGTCTGGAAGGGGCCATTCTCCCTAAGACTAGATACCTCTCTGTATAATCAGAAATTCCACTTTTCTAGGACTCTTGAGTCTTGGTTGTATGAAGAGGTTCCTCCAATCTGCTCATACAATAGCACACAGAGATGCATTTTCAGCCCTCTAAATTATATTCTACAGGTGAGGAGTGGAGCCTTACGCTAAAATCTTCTTCCTCTGGTCCCAACAAGCACATTTAACAGATCTCTAAAAGAGTCTTTAGTGCAAAGTGTAAACAGAGCAAAGAAGTACAGTGGACCCTTGACTTACAGACGACTTGACTTACAGACTTTTTGAGTTACAGACTTCTCTGGCCGCAAAATTTAGGTTTGACTTGCAGACTGAGATTTGACTTACAGACCAGAAAAAAACCAAAATGGAACAAAAACGGCCTGTTACGGGATTAATCAGTTTTCAATGCACTGTAGGTCAATGGAGACTTGACTTACAGACTTTTTGACTTGAGAACCGCCTTCCAATACGGATTAAGTTCTTAAGTCAAGACCCCACTGTAGTTGTATGGCTGTATGCACACGTTTGTAAAAAAAAACCCCCAAAAACATTACATTCATGTTTAAATCAATCAGAAAATATCATGTGAAGGCAAGAGGAGAAGGGGACAACAGAGGATGAGATGGTTGGACAATGTCATCGAAGCAACCAACATGAATTTGACACAACTCTGGGAGGCAGTGGAAACCAGGAGGGCCTGCATGCTCTGGTCCATGGGGTCACGAAGAGTCGGACACGACTAAATGACGACGACTTGATGCATAGCTTACGGGACAGCTAAGTGAGTTAGGCTGCAAAGTCAGAGGTTGTGAGTTCAGTTCCTCACTTTGCATCCCAGAAGAGATGTGTAGCACCGGTGTATCTCCACAGTCCCAGAATGCCTCCAGAAAAAGTGAACCATTTCTGAGTACTCTTTCCCTAGAAAACCCTGAAAAACGCCACCATAAGTCCGAATTGCCTTGACAGCATACAATTATTATTATTTGATACAGTACTAGTCTAATCAGAATTAAGATCTCTGTAATGGGATAAGCCTTAATTTCAGTGAGTGGGTATAGGCTTGCAGCCTAAAACTCTCTAATTATGAATTCCATCAAACGTGACGTTTTCTTGGTGGCATGTTTTGTGGCTTCAGCTTTTTTGGAGAATCATTGGCCATAATCCCATTAAGAAATGCATCCATAAGGGCAGGTGCACCATGTTTCCCACCACCTAAATGACCCACCTGTTACCCTGTGGTATGACCGGCCACTTGACTGCCTCCCCCCCCAATGGCAGGGCAAGAGCAGGCATGGAAAGGAAGGGTGTTCAGACCATTGCCCCTCTACTCTGCACCCCCTCAAAAGGATTCTGGCATTTGATTTCTAGATGTGTGAAGCCTTTGTAGATAACCTTGGAGAGAAAATAGTTGCCTTTGATCTGGAAGCAGAAGCTTCAAGTGAAGCCATTTGTGACATAGGAGTTGAACTTGAAAAGAATAAAATAGAATGCATAGGGATTGAGGGAAGCATTATTCTTCAATTGTTTTATACACAGTTGTGCCCTCTCCTTCAATATGTTAATTGTCCTTTAATTGAATAGACACCTGAAGATACTTTCAAAAAAGGTCAAATTCAAGGTTTTCATCTTAATGTGTATAATGTATCCTGTAGAAATACGGAAGAATTTAGTCATCTCTTTCTCTGCCCCAGCAGCTGATGTTTCTTTCTGCCACACTCCATCTTAATATCCTTATGGAAGTCATTGTAAACTAGTTTATCATCATGCAGAGGGCAAGTTGTATCTTGAAATGTTGAGGTTTGTGAGTAACAAGAAGCTCAGCTAGTATTGCTTGATCTTGTGATTCTTATTCTTTCCATCTTGAATAACTATATTGTGTGTGTGTGTGTGTTTAGTCGTTTAGTCGTGTCCGACTATTCGTGACCCCATGGACCAGAGCACGCCAGGCCCTCCTGTCTTCTACTGTCTCCCGGAGTTGTGTCAGGTTCATGTTGGTTGCTTCACAGACACTGTCCAGCCATCTCATCCTCGGTCGTCCCCTTCTCCTCTTGCCATCACACCTTCCTAACATCAAGGTTTTTTCCAAGGACTCTTTTCTTCTCATGAGATGGCCAAAGTACTGGAGCCTCAGCTTCAGGATCTGTCCTTCCAGTGAGCACTCAGGGTTGATTTCCTTTAGAATTGATAGGTTTGTTCTCCCTGCAGTCCAGGGGATTCTCAAGAGCCACCTCCAGCACCACAATTCAAAGACATCAATTCTTCGGCGGTCTGCTTTCTTTATGGTCCAGCTCTCACTTCCATACATCACGACAGGAAAAACCATAGCTTTGACTATTCGGACTTTTGTTGGCAAGGTGATGTCTCTGCTTTTTACGATGCTGTCAAGGTTTGTCATCGCTTTCCTCCCAAGAAGAAGGCGTCTTTTAATTTCAGGGCTGCTGTCTCCATCTGCAGTGATCATGGAGCCCAGGAAGATAAAATTTGACACTGCCTCCATATCTTCCCCTTCTATTTCCCAGGAGGTGATGGGACCAGTGGCCATGATCTTAGTTTTTTTGATGTTGAGTTTCAGACCGTTTTTTGCACTCTCCTCTTTCACTCTCATTACAAGGTTCTTTAATTCCTCCTCACTTTCTGCCATCAGAGTGGTATCATCTGCATATCTATATTACTGATGTTTAAATGTTGTTATATTTTACTGTATATTGTTATTATATGTGTTGGAAGCCACCCAGAGTAGTCAGTTGACTAGAAGAGCGGGAGTATAAATGCAATAGATAGATAGATAGATAGATAGATAGATAGATAGATAGATAGATAGATAGATAGATAGATAGATAGATAGATAGATAGATAGATGGATGGATGGATAGATGGATAGATGGATAGATGGATAGATGGATAGATAGATAAGCAAGCATGACTTATAAAATAGGCAATGTTCTGTGAAGGGCTTTTATACAAATTACCAATTTCTCACCTTTTTCACTACAGAGAAGCCATGGTTTATGTGACACAAGAAGCCAACAGGATAGGCCGTGTTTATAAGAAAGCAATGTTCAAGCAATTCACAGATTCAACATATTCTCAAGAGATCATCAAACCATCTTGGCTGGGTTTCCTTGGTCCAGTGCTGAGAGCTGAAGAAAGAGATACTTTTATTATTCATTTAAAGAACTTTGCTTCCCGGCCTTATTCTATCCATCCACATGGAGTCTTCTATAAGAAAGATTCTGAAGGTAGAACAAAGAGCTCTTTGTCTCTATTACTGTTTTATAATTCTTGCTCTGATGCCCCAGAAAACTAGTGTGATGATAAGGATATTGTGGGGATCAGAAACCTGCTGCTTTCCAGATGTTTTGGATAACAACTTCCATAAGTCCCAACCAATATGGTTAGTGGTGAAGATTTATGGGAGTTGTAGTCCATGAAGTTGTAGCCCCACACCTTCCCTTCTAGGACTTATCCCTGAACAAAGAATATGCTCATTTTTGACAGGGTGGAGTGAAACAAAATTCGTTGCACCTTTTCCAGTTGCATCAAGAACTGTGTTGTAGCCTTTCCTGGACTCAGGATATGGAAACTCCCAGTGGCCCTTGGTCTCTTCGCCAGTGGATGTGACCAGAGCTTGCTGCCCTCCAGTTCTCCAGTCTCAAAAGGCTTTGTACTTCTGCAAACTTCAGGGTTTCCTCAAACCTGCTGAGGGAAACCTCTTCTCTGTTCTTGGGAGGTTGAGAATGCCGTTTTGGCCACACCAAGTTGTACACTCATCTCTGAAATACAGGGAAGAGAAGGAAAAGATGGAATGATGTAATCATTTTAAAAGGGTGCATGGGAGATTTTAAACTTCTGTTCTTGCCTGGTCTACTTTAGGAGCCCTCTACCATGATGGAACAGGTGGCAAAAGCAAAGAAGATGATTTTGTTCTCCCTGGGACCAATTATACATATACGTGGCCGGTCACAGATGACTTTGCCCCTACGCTGACAGACCCACAGTGTCTGACCTGGATTTATCATTCACATATAGACACACCAAAAGATATCAACACTGGGTTAATCGGACCCTTGCTGGTTTGTAAGAAAGGTACGGAACTTAGGATACTAAACATCCTTCTGGTGGTGGACTTTGGATCAACAAGTCACAGAACATATAGGTTTGTTCTAAATGACTCTGACCCTTCAAGATATTCAATAGATGCCATTATACATATGTTAATTGAGTGGTCTAATAAAATTCTGGGCATAATTCAAGCAGTTGATTTATTGCATTTCAAACCTTAAATGGGTTAGAACCAGGTAAACTAATGGACTCTTGCTTCATTTACTCCTGTGTCTTCAAAGGCTATGCTTTAAGTAATTGAAGCAATGTTGGTGTGCCCAAGCTCCAGAACCCACTACTTGTACTGTATATTGTTTTACACAAGTCAGTGGCTTGTAGCAATCAGATGGTGCAAAAAGTAGTTGGAAAAGAACTATTTCAGTTGCAGAGGAATGGATAGGTGAAGGGTTGCTTGTAAGAAATTTTAATTCTTTGTAGGTGGGGATGGGAAGGAGACTTGGAACCATTACTAATGGCTTGTGTAAAATAACTTTACTAAAGTAACTGATACACAGATCCTGGTCCTGAAAGCCTTTGAGAATACATTAACTGATACATGTTCAGAAGGCATAAATAACCGTAGTTTCCTAGTATGTGTACTCATACATGCAAATATTATAAATGATACATTATTATGTATAGAGTGCAGTGTCTCTGCCTGGCACCTTATACAGTTTAACAGAGGACCTCTAATCTTCAGTCTTTTTTCAGTCTGGAAGGGTTACCCATGGATGATCTGGGGGAGACCCTTCCCATTTCTGTCCCTACTCTCTTGCATATGGATATTCTCATTCCACGTCCGCCCACTCTCCACATCCTGCACCTTTCCAACTAGGAAGACTAGCAAAGAGCAGGATAAACCCATTTGATATCTCCAGTCAGTGCTTGGTGTTATCCCTTACCAGTGATCAACATTATTTCCTATTCGGAACGTACCACAAGGGAGTGGAATCCTGCTGTTGCCTCTTATTATTGGTTAGGAATAGACCCTCTCTCTCTACAGTTGGAAAAGGTAGGATGGAAAGCGAAGCTGGCTTTCGCTGAGCCAGGCAATTTGCGTTGCACTTCGGGAGCTGCACTGCTCAGTGGGAGCTTTCCTCCTGCTTCACCTTCTCCAAATGAGGACTAGCATTTTGTGTGCACTGTGTCCTTCTGATTCAGAAAGGTGTGCTATGGGCAAAGTCCTGGTTCAACTGAGAATTTCTGAAGTCCTGACTGAATGGGTTGGACGTTGATGACATCAGGAGGAGTGCAGGCAATCTCTGGGACATATCTCCCACAATACCTTGCTCAAAGGACTCCGCAGCACGAGCATTCATGAGGGGGTGACCCTCCTTCTGCTACATGTGGTGCAGCATCTCCCAGGGCTAAGGTATTCTGCAAGAGCCCCAGGGATGGCCCCAAGCATGCAAGACTAGAAAGGAAGGGGACGTAGCCTTTGTGCAACCCACCATGGTTGAGCTGAAAGAGCAAATATCACAGGCAGGGAAGTTGAGCATTAAAAGGGGAGAGATCAAGAGGCCAAGGCCATGGAAAACTCCAAAGATAAGACAAAAGAGCTTTGTGCTAGCTCTCCAAATAGACAGGAATCCACACAAGCTGCAAATAACATGCAGGTTGATCTTAACAATCACTTTGCACCCTGTTTCTTACCTGGGACTGCTTTCAGGGACAGTATTTGAGAACACCTGAAATGATTCCATATAAATTAATTTGGAGGATTAAAAAATAACTCTATCTTTTTGTTTGCTCTTTAAAGGTTCCTTAGACAATACTTCTGAATTGGTGGCCAATTTTACTAAAGGCTTTGCCCTGATGTTCAGCATTATAGATGAAAATCTCAGCTGGTACCTGGATGAGAATATAAACGCCTTCTGCTTAGATCCCAGCACAGTTGATAAAGATGATGAGGATTTTCAGCTTAGCAATAAGATGCATGGTGAGTTAATGGTACAGAACATAATGCTTGGTTTACAACTTTAATTAGAATATCAGTGTAACATCTCACGGCTATGACCTCTCTTAACTCAAGAGACTCACAAATGTAATCTGGGAATGAATCAGAATTTTAATGCCTTCCACTTAGGCCTACTCACAGCTTGCTACACAGGCTGTGCAGGATGAGTTGTGTTCCAATACAAGTTGTGTCTCTTACAAGCCAGTTGCTTGGCTGTATGCAATGTCAGCATCTCCTTGGAAGATAGAGAGATGTTGTTATCAGCAACCTATAGTGAAATGTCTTCCATCAGTCTTTGTGAGCAACTCCTATGCTTGAACTAGGAGCATTCAGGTTTGTGTGTGTGGAATTGAATACTAGTATCTTCCTGGATGTCACCATATGACTAGGACTGGTTCTGCTCACACAATATCTCATTGAATAGGAAAGAATAAAGAGGGCCTCCTGGTTCAGTTAAATATTCCATGAGCAGCAAAGTCTTCCCAGAGCTTGAAAATGTCCTTTTTTCAGTACATTTTTCCAGTGGAGGGAATTGGTGTGAGCCTGTAGGCAATATACAGATATAGATCAAGAAGTGGAGACCTCCAAAAACTAAATCCGCTAGCTAACACATCATGATCCAATACTAATCCTTTTTGAGGCATTCATGGTACATACAGCATGTTTGATTTATATATGCACACAAGCTGCCATGGTGCAAAAGCATCATTTAGATGGCTGACCAATGTTGTAAAAACCATATTCTTGATGGAAACTATTTTAGCCTGCAACATGGCTTGTATATCCATAGTTCCTACACAGGAATTGCAGTTCAAAAGATAACTTTTCCAAGTTCTATTCCCTTTGCTCTGACTTAGAATCATGGAGTTGGAATTACTTCAGATGTCATCTAGTGTAAGCTTGCTAAGGCAGAAAGATTGTTTCAAATGTTGTTCCAGGAAATCATGATGATGAGGTGGTTTTGAATTACAGAACTATAAGTTAGGTACCATCTGTGTCAACTCTCCCCTTTCTGTGGGATGCTCTAAATATTATTATTAGTTTTAGTTTGTTTGTTTGTTTATTTAAATACAGCCTTTCCTGACAGATTGCCATTCAGCCTCAGCTTAAATACCTCCAGCGAAAGAAAGTCAATCAAGTAATCTGTTCCACTATCGCACAGTAATTTCTGTTAGCAAGTTCATCCTAATGTTTAACCTAATGTTCCAGAAAGCCATTGCTAACACAAAGGGCAAGTATCTCAACTATATATTCTCAGAATTTGCATAGATTAGCAGTTGTTGATGTCCACATAACTCAGGGATTGGCAGGAGCCTTGTGGCACAGTGGTTAAACTGCAGTACTGCAGCCAAAACTCTCCTCACAACCAGGGTTCAATCCCTGGTTGCTGGCTCAAGGTTCACTCAGCATTCCATCCATCCAAGGACAGTAAACTGAGTACACAGCTTGCTGGAGGGGCAATGTGTAGCCTGTATAATTACATTGTAAGCCACCCATTGAGTGCTTTAAGCGCTATGGGATGGTGTATAAGCAGCATGCTTTTTTGCTTTCCCTTGCAGTTGAATTACAGTTGGAGGACCATCTCTTAAAATTATATTTATCTGTTTACAGCAATCAATGGCTATGTTTTTGGAAACCTGCCTGGCTTGGAGGTGTGTGCTGATGAACTGGTCTCGTGGCACTTGTTTGGGATGGGGAGTGAGGCTGATATTCACTCTGTGCAGTTCTTTGACCACACTTTCATTGAGAGAGGACACAGGACAGATGTAGTCAGCCTGTTTCCAGCTACCTTTGTTACAGTGGAAATGAAGGTTGAGAATGTAGGGAAGTGGCTTTTGACCTGTCAAGTCAATGAACACGTAAAAGGTACAGTGATATTTATAAACTTTTCATGAAACAGATATTGAATGTTGAATACTCAGTATTAAAGTTAAGGCACAGAGGATGACACTGCTGTTGTCAATAACAAAAAATAACATCATAATTTCTCAGCATCACTTATGCTGGAGGGGGCGGGAATCCAAAGTGTCAAGCCCAAAAAATGGGAATCAGCTCGTACAAATTTGTGAGTGAGATGATATTTGCAAAATTACTGACTTTTGAATTTCAGAAAGCAAATTAGCAGCTTTTGGCAACTGTTTTAATTTGGTAATAAAAAATTTTGGGATGATTTCAGTTGTTGAAATTAGTATGGGGAGGAAGAGGACCTGCTCTAGCTTCCATTATGATTATCATGATGGTGATGATGGCCAAAATCCTATTGTCCTCAGAGTGCTAAAAGATTTGTAATACTCCTTGGTAAATTGAGTCTGTGGGGTCTATGACAGCTGACATTTATCCCTGAAATGGTTAGTTCTAGTGTGAAATCAGATAACAATTTAAATCATATTAAAGTTCATCTGAATATCAGTTGTTTACTTGCTCCTTCCTGGCTCACCAAAAATGTAGCTTTAAAACATGCTCCATCTCTCTTCAGACAAAGAGAATAAAGCATTGTTTTCACTCATGGTAAAGCAAGCAAAGAAAAATAATTCTAGGCAACACCAACTTGCCTATTTATTTCATCGCCATATCTTCTTCGAACTCCAGCGCTGAAAGGGATCCTACAAGCTTTATTCATCTACATTGCTTCTGTGTTCCATATGCATAAAAATACTTCAAAGTTAAGAATTTCTGAGAAGTCACAGGCACATTGCTTAAAAAAAATCATTGTTACGGGTATGAGGAGATGTTGTTGGTACAGATGCTTCAAAATATATGAAGACTGAATCTAAGTTGCAGGCAAATAGTACTTAAGTCAGAAAAATATATTTCAGTTATAAGCTTTTAGCTATAAAAGTTACAGATAAGAACTTCAATCATATTTCAGTCCAGAAATACAGGAACTTATCGCCTGAAAATGCATGATCAAAAAGCAATTGTCTTCTAGCTTTTGGCTCCTGGCTCATTTTTAACTGGTCCCCTTAACTCAGACCTGAAAATGTCACATTAGTTTTGGAAGCATTTAAGGGATCCATTCTTTCTCAATGAAACAGAATTTACAACTCAGATCAGATGCTCATGAAAACAAAGTGAGGCCTGGGCATTCAGGGAACACTCTGTGGTTGGGTACTCTAGCTCAGACTTTGGAAAAGTTACTTTTTAGAAGTACAACTCCAAGAATCCCCAATCCTGGTTGTGTAATTTTGGGAGCTGTAATAATAATTTAAAAAAAAAACCTTTTCTGAGTTCTATTTCTGGCTTTTAACAGACCTTTAATTATTTCACTCATTAATTTCATGTGACATGCTAGTATTTCTCTTTTAGCACATCAACATTCCCCAGCAATCCCGTCTACAAATTACAGCATGTGTAGAGTCAGCTCTGTGGTGCGGATGACACAATTTGTTTGTTTCTTTGTTTTCTTTGTGCTTTCTGCACTTCAGCCGGTATGATGGGACTATACAGCGTTAAGGCCTGCAGTCCAAATATTAGTCAGCCTTCTCACAGGGGTCAAGAAAGAAGATATTTTATTGCAGTTGAAAAAGTTCTGTGGGACTATGGACCAAGTGGCATTGATAAATACACTGGACAGGCTTTAAATGCTACAGGAAGGTAAGTGGTCAGATTAATGTTTAATTTTTCCATGCTTTCTCTGAAATGTAGACTGGGATTCTCATTAACTCAATTCAAACGCCATGAATGTCGACAGGAGGAGAAGAGCCTCATGGTGCAGTGGTGACATTTCAGTACTGCAGTCAGGATTCTGCTCGTGACCTGAGTTTGACCACAATGGACTCAGGTAGCCAGCTTAATGTTGACTCAACCTTCCATCTTCCCGAGGTCAATAAATTGACTACCCCGCTTGCTGAGGGTGTAATGTGCAGTCTGCATAGGTAAAGGTAAAAGTTCCCCTTGACATTTAGTCCAGTCGTGTCCGACTCTAGGGCACGGTGCTCATCCCCGTTTCCAATCCAGAGAGCCACCATTTCTCCATAGTCAGTTTCCGTGGTCACGTGGCCAGTGTGACTAGACATGGAATGCCATTACCTTCCCAACGTGGTGGTACAGTACCTATTTATCTACTCGCATTTTTACATGCTTTCGAACTGCTAGGGTGGCAGGAGCTGGGACAAGCGATGGGAGCTTACTCCATTGCATGGATTCGATCTTACGACTGTTGGTCTTCTGGAACTGCAGCACAGAGGCTTTTGCAGTTTAACCCGCAGCACCACTACGTCCCTTCTATGTGCAGCCTGCATAATAAATTATAAACTGCCCACAGAGCAGTACGTAAGCAGCATACTTAGTTATTATCCTGATGGGCAGCAAATTTAATGTAATTCTTTGTCAAGTTTGTGCAGCATTCTTCCTTTAAAAATGTTTATCCTTTATCAGGTTAAGAATTCCAGGTTCGGTAAAAAAAATTAATTAGGCAATACTGGGCAAGCCACTATTTCCCACCCCACTCCCCCATCTGAAATATAAAATTTCACCTACCTTAAAAAATAATTTTTACAGATGTATCTGTTGGATTTTTCAATTATGTTGATTTTTTAGTCTGGTGGAGTTTTATTAAATGCAATAAAGATTAAAAGTTAAAAAGAGAGAGAGAGATAGCTGGTGGAGTTTTAAACTTGACTGAATGCAACACATCTAATTTTGAACTCTCCAACTTCTACAAAATTTACTGTGCCATGTTTATGCTATATTTCTCCCCTTAGTTTGGTGAGAAACATGGCATAATGAACAAACAAACAAACAAACAAACAAACAAATAAATAAATAAATAAATAAATGGGGACTCAGTTAAATAAGGAATGTGTGGTTAACCCAAAAATTGGAAGCCTTTGTCTTACTTTCTCACACTACTATTTTGCAGAGGATGTCATTGTGCTTTCTTTTGGAATGGAATGGAATCACATAATACCTTTTATTTTGTGGGGCAATAACATGGCACTAAAAAGGAAGAACATTTTTGCTTTTAAGTGGCCCACAAACATATCATTTGTGCTTTCTGCACTTCAGTTGGTATACAGTGGTGCCTCGCTTGACGATGTTAGTTCGTTCCAGCGAAATCGCTGTAGAGCAAAA